CAAAGCAACGACATGCCTAAAGAAGAACCTAACCCGTTGAAGACCCATTTCAAGCCCAATGACCCAGCAACATTATCATCCAAGCCAGTCCACGTGAAGTCCGGGAAAATCGAAAAAATGGTTATCGGGAGTTAACCAAAACAAAGTGGGGTGGGGGTCAATTTTTAATGAACAATTAACCACCAGAAACAGGATAGGACACAGGCAGAAAAGAAAAAAAGGAAAAAATGATCTGGAGAAACAAGAGAGTATACTGTAAATCCACTCCCGGACATTCAAAACAAATGGCAAATATAAAGGGGTTCTTCCCCATTTTCTAAAGAGAACGAGCAAAATAAACAAAAAAGGACCATTCGAGTGAAGGGAATAGGAGAGATACATTGTAAAAAATAGGGGGTTTCCCCTTCGTTCTTGTAAGCAGAGAGTTCGAAAATAAATAGAAAAGAAGTAGTTTCTTCTTCCTGGTACATTCGTTTTTTCAGCAATACAATCAATACATAACAGAGCTTTTTTAAGGTACATAATACTTCTTTGTTCCTCTTTCTTTCTTGCAATCGAAAAGCATAGATAGATAGGGAGTTGAGTTTTTACCTTAACGGTGCAAGCTCTCATGGCTGGAGCGATAGACATGGTTGTTTCTTAAATTAGTGATCAAAACAATAAGCGAGTAGTAAACATAACAACCCAAAAAGAAAAATCCATCAAAACCCAAGAGAAAATATAAAGGAAAAAAGGGGAAAATCTAAGGGAAACCTTACCTCTTCTGCGATAACAGCCTTTGTGCCTTCATCGAATGAAGTAAACGTCTTCAACAGACGAAGGTAATGCTCTTATAGTATCTCGGTTGGGGTTGTTTGGGTTTGTTGAATCTATGTTTATTTGTGGGTTGTAAGGCCCGAAGAGGGATGATTTAGAGACTACGTTTGAAATGGAGTTGTATAGTAGTCACTCGGCTCTTCGTCGGAGTCGGAGAGTGACGAGGAAGGGCTATGAGTTGCTTTCTCGATTAAGAAAAAGAAAGAGAGTGAGATGAAGAACTTGAGTGACTGAAAGTTGAGGACGGAAAAAAAATAGGGTTATTTAGGATTCCTGTAGAGCTTTTAATGGTCGGAGTGGAGTGTAGTAACCATCGGGGAGGCTGTCGGTGTCATGAGTGTGAAAACCTTGAGCTTTTCGGCTGTGCAAATGAAAAGGAGAGTGACGAGGAAAGCCTGAGCAACAGTGGAGAAGGAGAGTTAACGTAATGGGATATTATGGTTAAAATCAAGTTTAAACCATGTTTGTTAAAGCCAAAACGTTTCTGATTTTAGCAAATATAGGCCAAGAGTTGTTTTCTTTTGTTATTGGGCTTATTAAGTGAGGGATCAATTCAATTTTGAGGTTAATGCAAGTTGGTTCTTAGTTTGAGGTCTTTCTAATTTTTGATTTAGTTTCTTTATTTTACATGCATTTTAATCTCGTAATTGTATTTATTTCATTTGTTTGTCATTTAGCATGGTTGTCCATTTTAAATACGTATACGTACAAAAATATATGCATGTGTTTGTTTGTGCTTAAATTATTTAGATACGTATTATATGTATGTATAAATGCATTTGTTTTTAAAATCCTGTGAACTATGAATAGTGGGATGTATGAGCATTGGTATGTTAACACATATTTGCACATAATTTGGGATGTATGTTACATGCATGTACGTACTTGTCTTTTTATTTATTTAGTATAGTAGTATTTATAAATGTATTATTGTTGTTTTTCAAATATCTTTATTATTTTTAATTTGTGTAAAACCATGTAGATTTAATTGCATGTATCTTTAATTTCCGGTGTATGAAACCTCATTTGCATAACTCGACATAATACATAATTGGACTAAGGGTAAGCTTTTAATTTTAAAATTGTTTTAAGTGAGCAGTCATAACTGATTTGAGGTCCGCTTTTAATGATTTTAAAATAAAAGTGTATCCCATTATTGACGCCTAAAAATTGATCCATCACTCTAAAATTTGGGAACAAAAGAAAAGGAAATGTTCGTTTATTTAAATTTATCGAGAAAGGTTGTTATAACTTTTAAGATATGATCTCGATATTGTAAATAATCTAACATTCTTTATCTTTCTAAAACGACTCGGTAATTTCAATTTAATTTATTTGAGTGCTTTTGAATGTTTTAAATTTACATTTTTGTTTTATGAGATAAAAAATCAAATTAAATTCGAAGTTGTAAAGTTCATTGCAAATACGTTAATTAATCGACTAGGTATCGATTTAGGGCGTTGTGGGGGTGTTAATCCTTCCCCACACATAACCGACTCCCGAACTCGGATTTGGTAACGCATACCTCAATTGTTTGTTTTAAAATTAATTTTTTATTTAAAATGACAAGCATTTTTGGGTGCCCAATCACACCTTAATCAAAGATTGGTGGCGGCTCTTCGAACCATATTTTTCGATCGTAAAGGAAATCCAAATTTTTTTCGAAACGAGAGGTCTTTTAAATCGTATTTGTTTTTAAATTAAAAAAGAGATAATTAAAAATTAATGTGGTTTTTTAAAATCTCACTTTTTTACCCTTAAAAAAAATCGTCTCGATATGTGACAGTTTAATATACGATTAAGGAAATACTTAAAATAAAATAGAATAATTATAAGATAACATTATTTTCATAAATTTTTCTTAATCATTTATAATATATACACCGTACAATTATAATTATTTAAAATCAAGACTTTTAAAAAAAACAACGTTATCCTTAATCAATGAAATTATTTAATAAATTAATTATTTTAATATTTATTAACATTAAAACTTATTTTTTATAAACATTAAAATTTAAATTTAAATATTAACAATCGTTCTGTCATACAAAATTAAACAAATACAATTAAAATACATGTATGATTAAGGATGGATATAATTTTATGTACAAGAGTATAAACTTTTAAAGAATTGTATTAAAAATTTCAGAAATAGGATATCAATAAAAAAATAAAAAAAATATTAATTTATACATTTATTTAATTTTTTAAAAATATGATCGCTTCTGTATTTTTTCGTCCTGTTATATTTATTTCATCAAAATAGTCAAATATTATAGGAGTGAAAAAACTAAATGGCTTAAAGTAATAAGATAAAGGTTCTATCGAGTGGTTTATGGTTAAAGAGAGTATTATTTTTTCTTGAGGTCTTGCATTTAAATTAGGCCTGTAAACGAACCGAACGAGTGTATGTTCATGTTCGTTCGTTTAACTTTAACCGAACAAATGAACGAACACGAACATAAACGAACGAAAAGTTTCTTGTTCGTTCGTTAAGGAATGTAACTTGTTCGTGTTCGTTCATGTTCGTTCGTTTAAATGATAAACGAACACCAATGTACGAACATAAACGAACACAATAAACGAACGTTAACGAATACAAATGAACGAACGTAAACTAACACAATAAATGAACATAAATGGACGTAAACAAACATAAATGAAAATATTTTTTTCTTTCCTAACAATTTTAGGATTATATTTTATTTAATTGTCTTGAGTTTTTTAATTTTATTTAAAATTAATTGAATTTTAAAATATTTATAGGTATCATATTAAAATTTATTAGGCTTTAATACTTTAAATGAGTTTAGAGAGATTGAGCTAAACATAAATGAATGTACATAAAAGGAGATAAACGAACGAACATAAACAACATAAACGATCGAACATAAACGAACATATTACCGAACGTTCACGAACGTAAATGAACGAACGAGTCCTCTGTTCATATTCGTTCATTTAATTAAAAGAACACAAAATATTATTCATGTTTATTCGTTTAATGAATAAACAAACTTCTCGCCAAATCGTTCACGAATGGTTCGTTGAACGTTCGGTTCGTTAGGCCTAATTCGAATAGTAACGACTATATGATATATATACGTTGTTGATGATTAAAAATTTATAGATATATATTATATTATAATTATTATATACTATTAAAAAATAATGCTAATAGTAAAATGTGGGGATAGATATTTTAGATACAAGATTAGATTTTTATATATGACAATAAGCTGTACCTAAGAAAATCTGATCTCAAAGTTCATTATTTACATCGACAATCACGTGATTAGTGTTCCACTTCCACCTTTAATCCGTCCCCAGTCAACCCGTCTAATCGTCCATCACCCAATGCCTAACAGTCAATAATGATGCCATGTCATCAAAATCATCCTACGCCGTCGGATCAAATCCAAATCCCACGATCAAATTGATTCTTGATTCTTGGCACAACATTTCGAATTTATTGTTCTTCTAAACCATTTTTCAATAAATATACATACACATTCCATCCTTGCTCTTCAATTTTTGTTTCTTTTGAATTTCTTCGAAATATCAGATGAAATTATAGAAAATATATTTCTTGTAAGTTAAGTAAATTATATTTTTAATAAAAATAAGATTTTTTTTAAAAAAAAATAATTAATTAATTGATTGCTGAGTACTTCAACTAAGACAATATATGTGAATAAAAAAATCTATAAAATAATGATGTTAATATGTGGGAGGGTGTCCGGGTTCTCTTAACATTAGACGAAATTTGGTCTATGGGTCCCTCAGTTTCCAAGCTTTTTAATTTTCTGGTGTGTTTTCTTGGATGTTGCCATTATTTTCTAAAGTTAACTTTATGTCAAGGTCTCTCTCCCACTGTGTGTCCTTGTCCTTCGACTAGGTTTCTTTCAAACTAAAGGACAAGGGAGAGATTTTATTTTCAATCTTCAATCTTTTTTCTGCTCCTTTTTATCAATCTTGTGAAGGGGTTTCTCCAAACAAGACCCTTTTTTTCTTCTTGGTTTAGGTTGTTACAAAATTTTTGAGCTTTTTAGTTGATCTCTGTTAAAAAAGAAAGTGGGGATGGATTTGGGCAAAGTGTAGATTTTGGTAAGATGGGTATGGGTTATTTTCACTTGGAAAGTTGAAAGATACGTACATACATATAAGGGGTTTCTCCAAACAAGACCCTTTTTTTCTTCTTGGTTTAGGTTGTTACAAAATTTTTGAGCTTTTTAGTTGATCTCTGTTAAAAAAGAAAGTGGGGATTGGATTTGGGCAAAAGTGTAGATTTTGGTAAGATGGGTATGGGTTATTTTCACTTGGAAAGTTGAAAGATACGTACATACATATATAAAAAATTACTTTTTTTTGGGGCGTTGAATGAGATCGGTAGTCCTTTTTTTTTCTGCTAAAGGTTTGTTCTTGACCTATTATTGGCTTCCTTGTTGTTTCCATCTTGCTTTTTGGTGAACAAAAAGGTTCACCCTTGATTCTTGGTGTTGGCTGCTAATATATAAACACTTGGAGGAAGTGAAAAACCAATACTTGATTGTTGTGGCTGAATAGGAAGATTGAAAGATTTTGGATTTGTGTTTTAGATTCTTAGATTTAGGAAGCTGTGTTTATTTTTATAGATCTTGAATTGTGGCAGATTTGATTTTGCTGTCTTTGCGAAGTAATTGGCTTTAGGAATTATAGATGTGATTTGAATTGGTTGAATACAAAAGTTTATATGTTGGGGGTTTGGGAAGTTTGACATTTTAGTTGTATGGATTGAACTAGTAGTTACCTGAGTGGCAATGTTAAGAGCATTAGCTCTTGGCTTGTTGATTTCTTTTTTGGCAGTCTCGGTTTCGGGTACTGATAATGAGTTTGCAGCTTGTAACTGTGATGATGAGGGCTTTTGGAGTGTTCATAGCATTTTAGAGTGCCAGAAGGTGAGTGATTTCTTCATTGCCGTGGCGTATTTCTCGATACCTATCGAGTTGCTTTACTTCATCAGTTGTTCGAACGTCCCCTTCAAATGGGTCCTTGTTCAGTTTATAGCTTTTATAGTGCTTTGTGGATTGGCTCATCTTCTCAATGGATGGACTTATTATGGTCCCCACTCATTCCAATTGATGCTGTCCCTTACCATTGCCAAATTGCTTACCGCTCTCGTCTCGTGTGCCACCGCGATAACGTTATTGACTCTGATCCCTCTCTTGCTCAAAGTTAAAGTGAGGGAGGTTTTCTTGAGGCAAAATGTGCTGGAATTGGATCAAGAGGTTGACATGATGAAAAGGAAGAAGGAAGCCAGTTCACACGTTCGGATGTTAACGCAGGAAATCAGGAAATCGTTAGATAAACATACCATATTGTACACCACTTTGGTTGAGCTTTCTAAGACTTTGGATTTGATCAACTGTGCCGTGTGGATGCCGAATGAGAATGGAACACAGATGAACTTGACTCATGAGTTGAAAACAAGCTCTTCGAGGAGTTTTCACCAATCTATCCCGATGAGTGATCCTGATGTGAAGGAGATAAAGGGGAGTGAGGATCTTGAGACTAGACTCCGCACTTGGGCTTGCGAGTGGTAGTGAATCAGATGAGGCAGGTGCCATTGCAGCAATCAGGATGCCAATGCTTCAAGGTTTTAATTTTAAAGGGGGAACGCCAGAATTGGTGGAGACAAGCTATGCCATTCTGATATTGGTTCTTCCAAGCACGAACTCTAGGAATTGGAGCTATCCAGAAATGGAGATCATTGAAGTGGTTGCTGATCAGGTGGCTGTAGCTCTATCCCATGCTGCTGTTCTCGAAGAATCTCAACGAATGAGAGAAAAACTGAGCCAGCAGAATCAAGTGTTGCAGCAGGAAAGGCAGAATGCAATGATGGCCAACCAAGCGAGGAACTCTTTTCAGAAAGTAATGAGTCATGGTATGAAAAGACCAATGCACTCGATTTTGGGCTTACTTTCAGTGTTTCAAGATGAAAATATGAACTTCAAGCAGAAGACTATTGTTGACACATTGGTCAAAACAAGCAGTGTTCTTTCAACTTTGATCAATGATGTGATGGAGATTTCGGCAAAAGATAACGGAATGAATGCGGTTCTTCAGAAACCTGTCTTATTGCAAGCAATGGCGGTCGAGCTTCAAAGAATTTTGCGTCGGTAAGGGGAAGGGATTTGAGGAGCCACTCGTACTCGGGCCAACCCTTTGTGGGCAGAACCTCCAATTGGATGCTTGGCCCGCAGGTATGGGGATCGGTTACCGGTCGGCTCACAGAGATCTTTAACTTAGTATTTGCATTCTGTCATTCCATGGTATACAAACATGTAGGCAGTGAATTTTGCTAACCGATTTGCTCATCGAACATCGTAGCCGGAACTCCATGGAACGAATCAAGGTAAAATTACATGTACACTTACTGAATACCAAAATGAAAGCTAGTGTGATATTTATGACACTGAAAAATGTATGGACAGTAATGCATACCATCAATTCTCTTTTTTTCTATGGTGAAATCCATTTATTATTGAAAACATAACTGCAATAGGTTGAGTTCATATGCTTTTACTGGTGCATACTGCATTTGACAGCTTGTCATTGACAAACCTTAGCATCAGCGCATTCAAGCTCTATGCTGTTATAGTTCCCACAAGTTTGTTCACACAACCCATTTTTCTTAGAAAAAGGAAAAATAAACTTTCCATCAACCAATGAGCTAAAATGATACCATGAAGCTTTTTGAATAAATTGATATTAGTTGTTCTAGTTTAATTAAAATCCCGGGTTCGAGTAACATTAAATTTATGATGAAAAAAGTTTAAGCAGATAAGATAAAGACTGGTTAAATTCATAAAAAGAACAGCTTAAAAGAACTGTGCATGTATATCATTTCTGCAGGGACAGATCAATTCCTTTATTTCTCCACAATCTCCATAACAAGAAAGACAAAAGCTCAGTTTACATAGCAAACATCACCAGATGAGCTAGAATTTTGTAGAGGCATCCTCTTATATGTATGTTATCCTAGTGGAAGGAACAATGGGAGAATCTTTAAGAGTAGCTTCAGAAGCCAACTTTAATTCGTCTACCGGAGTCAATTTGCAACCCCATATCGACGGTGATTGGACGACCTTTGTTGCCAACTTAAGCAAATGAGTCTTTAGGAGAGCACTAAGGGAGTTGTTTAGTCAGCACGTCAAAGTTACCAAAGTTTTCATCCCCCAGACAACAACAGACCAAATACAAGGTTAACACATTTGCTTTCATCCACTTTGCGAATCAAGATCTCCAATAAGCCATTGAGAAGGTCAATGAGAGTATGATTGATGGAAGAAAGGTGACGATGCAGAGAGCGAGATATCAACAGATTCGTCCTCTTATATGTATGTTATCCTAGTGGAAGAAACAATGGGAGAAACTTCAAGAGTCGCTTCAGAAGCCAACTTTAATTCGTCTACCGGAGTCAGCTTGCAACCCCATATCGACGGTGATTGGACGACCTTTGTTGCCAACTTAAGCAAATGAGTCTCTAGGGGAGCACTATGGGAGTTGTTTAGTCAACACGTCAAAGTTACCAAAGTTTTCATCCCCTCAAACAACAACATACCAAAATACAAGTTTGATACATTTGCTTTCATCCACTTTGCGAATCAAAATCTCTAATCAGCCATTGAGAAGGTCAATGAGAGAATGATTGATGGAAGAAAGGTGACGATGCAGAGAGCGAGATATCAGCAGATTCATCCTCTTATATGTATGTTATCCTAGTGGAAGGAACAATGGGAGAAACTTCAAGAGTCGCTTTAGAATCCAACTTTAATTCGTCTACCAGAGTCAGCTTGCAACCCCATATCGACGGTGATTGGACGATCTTTGTTGCCAACTTAAGCAAATGACTCTCTAGGAGAGCACTATGGGAGTTGTTTAGTCAGCACGTCAAAGTTACCAAAGTTTTCATCCCCCCAGAACAACAACAGACCAAAATACAAGTTTGACACCTTTGCTTTCATCCACTTTGCGAATCAAGATCTCCAATCAGCCATTGAGAAGGTCAATGAGAGTATGATTGATGGAAGAAAGGTGACGATACAGAGAGCGAGATATCGCAGATTCATCCTCTTATATGTATGTTATCCTAGTGGAAGGAACAATGGGAGAAACTTCAAGAGTCGCTTCAGAAGCCAACTTAATTCGTCTACCAGAGTCAGCTTACAACCCCATATCGGCGATGATTGGACGACTTTGTTGCCAACTTAGCAAATGAGTCTAGGAGAGCACTATGGGAGTTGTTTAGTCAGCACGTCAAAGTTACCAAAGTTTTCATCTCCCAGAACAACAACAGACCAAAATACAAGTTTGGCACCTTTGCTTTCATCCACTTTGCGAATTAAAAGGATCTCCAATCAGTCATTGAGAAGGTCAATGAGAGTATGATTGATGGAAGAAAGGTGACGATGCAGAACAAGATATCAGCATATTCATCCTCTTATATGTATGTTATCCTAGTGGAAGGAACAATGGGAGAAACTTCAAGAGTCGCTTCAGAAGCCAACTTTAATTCGTCTACCGGAGTAAACTTGCAACCCCATATCGACGGTGATTGGACGACCTTTGTTGCCAACTTTAGCAAATGAGTCTCTAGGAGAGCACTGTGGGAGTTGTTTAGTCAGCACGTCAAAGTTACCAAAGTTTTCATCCCCAGAACAACAGACCAAAATACAAGTTTGACACCTTTGCTTTCATCCACTTTGCGAATCAAGATCTCCAATCAGCCATTGAGAATGTCAATGAGAGTATGATTGATGAAAGAAAGGCGACGATGCAGAGAGCGAGATATCAACAGATTCATCCTCTTATATGTATGTTATCCTAGTGGAAGGAACAATGAGAGAAACTTCAAGAGTCGCTTCAGAAGCCAACTTTAATTCGTCTACCGGAGTCAGCTTGCAACCCCATATCGGCGGTGATTGGACGACCTTTTTTGCCAACTTAAGCAAATGAGTCTCTAGGAGAGCACTATGGGAGTTGTTTAGTCATTACGTCAAAGTTACCAAAGTTTTCATCCCCCCAGACAGCAACATGCCAAAATACAAATTTGACACCTTTGCTTTCATCCATTTTGTGAATCAAGATCTCTAATCAGCCATTGAGAAGGTCAATGAGAGTATGATTGATGGAAGAAATGTGACAATGCAGAGAGCGAGATATCAACATATTCATCCTCTTATATGTATGTCATCCTAGTGGAAGGAACAATGGGAGAAACTTCAAGAGTCGCTTCAGAAGCCAACTTTAATTCGTCTACCGGAGTCAGCTTACAACCCCATATCGACGATGATTGGACGACCTTTGTTGCCAACTTAAGCAAATGAGTCTCTAGGAGAGCACTATAGGAGTTGTTTAGTCAGCACGTCAAAGTTACCAAAGTTTGCATCCCCCCAGACAACAACAGACCAAAATACAAGTTTGACACCTTTGCTTTCATCCACTTTGCGAATCAAGATCTCCAATCAGCCATTGAGAAGGTCAATGAGAGTATGATTGATAGAAGAAAGGTGACGATACAAAGAGCGAGATATCAACAGATTCATCCTCTTATATGTATGTTATCCTAGTGGAAGGAACAATGGGAGAAACTTCAAGAGTCGCTTCAGAAGCCAACTTTAATTCATCCACCGGAGTCAACTTACAACCCCATATCGGCGGTGATTGGACGACCTTTGTTGCCAACTTAAGCAAATGAGTCTCTAGGAGAGCACTATGGGAGTTGTTTAGTCATTACGTCAAAGTTACCAAAGTTTTCATCCCCCTAGATAACAACAGGCCAAAATACAAATTTGACACCTTTGCTTTTATCCATTTTGCGAATCAAGATCTCCAATCAGCCATTGAGAAGGACAATGAGAGTATGATTGATGGAAGGAAGGTGACGATGAAGAGAGCGAGATATCATCAAATTCATCCTCTTATATGTATGTTATCCTAGTGGAAGGAACAATGGGAGAAACTTCAAGAGTCCCTTCAGAATCCAACTTTAATTCGTCTACCGGAGTCAGCTTGCAACCCCATATCGACGGTGATTGGACGATCTTTGTTGCCAACTTAAGCAAATGACTCTCTAGGAGAGCACTATGGGAGTTGTTTAGTCAGCACGTCAAAGTTACCAAAGTTTTCATCCCCCCAGAACAACAACAGACCAAAATACAAGTTTGACACCTTTGCTTTCATCCACTTTGCGAATCAAGATCTCCAATCAGCCATTGAGAAGGTCAATGAGAGTATGATTGATGGAAGAAAGGTGACGATACAGAGAGCGAGATATCAGCAGATTCATCCTCTTATATGTATGTTATCCTAGTGGAAGGAACAATGGGAGAAACTTCAAGAGTCGCTTCAGAAGCCAACTTTAATTCGTCTACCAGAGTCAGCTTACAACCCCATATCGGCGATGATTGGACGACCTTTGTTGCCAACTTAAGCAAATGAGTCTCTAGGAGAGCACTATGGGAGTTGTTTAGTCAGCACGTCAAAGTTACCAAAGTTTTCATCTCCCAGAACAACAACAGACCAAAATACAAGTTTGGCACCTTTGCTTTCATCCACTTTGCGAATTAAAAGGATCTCCAATCAGTCATTGAGAAGGTCAATGAGAGTATGATTGATGGAAGAAAGGTGACGATGCAGAGAACAAGATATCAGCATATTCATCCTCTTATATGTATGTTATCCTAGTGGAAGGAACAATGGGAGAAACTTCAAGAGTCGCTTCAGAAGCCAACTTTAATTCGTCTACCGGAGTAAACTTGCAACCCCATATCGACGGTGATTGGACGACCTTTGTTGCCAACTTTAGCAAATGAGTCTCTAGGAGAGCACTGTGGGAGTTGTTTAGTCAGCACGTCAAAGTTACCAAAGTTTTCATCCCCCAGAACAACAACAGACCAAAATACAAGTTTGACACCTTTGCTTTCATCCACTTTGCGAATCAAGATCTCCAATCAGCCATTGAGAATGTCAATGAGAGTATGATTGATGAAAGAAAGGCGACGATGCAGAGAGCGAGATATCAACAGATTCATCCTCTTATATGTATGTTATCCTAGTGGAAGGAACAATGAGAGAAACTTCAAGAGTCGCTTCAGAAGCCAACTTTAATTCGTCTACCGGAGTCAGCTTGCAACCCCATATCGGCGGTGATTGGACGACCTTTTTTGCCAACTTAAGCAAATGAGTCTCTAGGAGAGCACTATGGGAGTTGTTTAGTCATTACGTCAAAGTTACCAAAGTTTTCATCCCCCCAGACAGCAACATGCCAAAATACAAATTTGACACCTTTGCTTTCATCCATTTTGTGAATCAAGATCTCTAATCAGCCATTGAGAAGGTCAATGAGAGTATGATTGATGGAAGAAATGTGACAATGCAGAGAGCGAGATATCAACATATTCATCCTCTTATATGTATGTCATCCTAGTGGAA